CATTGATATATTTGCACCAATGATTCCAAAATATCAACTACAGTATATTTAGGCACAGTGGTGAGTCTAGTCTTTTTTCAACTCAGATTTTGACAGTTTGTTCATATGTTGTGGTATTACATCATTGTCACATAAAAAGGGGAGATGTGGTATGATTGCCAATGAGACAACTATCCACACAAGTTCAAATGAAGTGGATGTAGGCAATTATAGGCAACCATACGGCATTCAACAATGAGAAAAACCCGTACAGTCGGCTATAAAAGGCCCCGACATGAAAAGAGGAAGCAATTCAATTGAGAAAACTAACTGCCTAATTTATAACAAAACAAATTTACGAAAAACAAATATGACAGACATGAACCAACGATAAACACTGAACTACAGGCTCCTGACTTGGGACAGGCACATACAGAATGTGGCAGTCTGTATATATATATATATGTGCATGTCCGAAGTCATGAGCCTGTAATTCAGTTGTTGCCGTTGGTCGCTGTACGTGTTATTTGTCCTTCGTTAATTGCTTTGTACATAAACCAGGCTGTTCGTTTTCTTGTTTGAATTGTTTTAGATTCTGTCATGTCGGGGACTTTTATAGCTTACTTTACGGTATTGGTTTGGCTCGTCGTTGAAGGCCATAGTGACATTTTGTTACTTACAGGGGCGGATCCAGGATTTTGGAAAGGGGGGGCGTAGTATGTAATATTTGCCGAGCGGAGCGAGGCGAAAATTTTTTGGACCTTTTTTTTTGGCTACAAAACATAAAATAAGTGTAAAATGCACATTTTTAGTGACGGTTCCTAACGTGGGGTATGTATATTTTATAGTTAAAGTGCCGGTAAGCTTGGTGCCGCATTCTCCCCATTAGTTGTCTATTATAAAATGATTGAATGGATCTAAAGCTATGTACTAATATATTTGATGTGAGATTTGTCAGTAAAAAATGGACATGGAAAATTCTCGTTTGTTGTATGGTTAGTTAGCATAACCTCACAGATTACTTGTTGTAAACATGATATACGGCTATTCAATGAAGTTTATAATACGACCGACACGAACAAAGACAAAGAAGCAATTTTTATCCAAATGTTTGGTGAAATGTTTCACTCAACAAGGGAAGTGAGGGGTTCCAAATCAACCAACGGCTACGAATGAGTCTGAAAATCAAATGACAACGAAGTTGTGAATGACGGTCGACAAATGGAGACATAAAGGCCACACCCAGCAGGCAGGTTGCAGTTGGGCCTTGAAAAAAGTATTCAGTATATCAGTTCGGCGAAACAGACATTCCGGTCAGATATGGGATTTACATGCAACCCCCCCCCCCCCTCCAAAAAAAAAAAGAATTTTTGTTTAAGGCAAAAATCAGGGTAAGAATTTTTTCTCTAAAATATCTCAGACTGCCCTATCAAATCAAATGGTCCGTACCTTTATTCAGCAATGTTATTAATTGGCTGGGGCGTGTGGGGTTAAACATATTTTCGTAGATAAATAATATTGCCGTGGAACTTTTTTTTTCATGAGAGTGTAATAGAGTATTACTTTCTGTTGAGTGGAAATATGAAATAGAAGTCAATACGTTCTTGCTCAATCCTTTGTCGCTTTGAAGGCGTCATGCTTGTCATCCTCCGCCTAAGCAATGTGTTACTGTAATTTGAATTTCAAAATGACTGAGTGACGTTTCGAAAGTACAGATCAACTCCACCGTAGCGAAACATATGACTGACATAATCAATAATATATTACAGTAAATACGAGCGAAAAATATCTTTATAAGTAAAGAATTGTCGCATAAAAATTAAATACACGACCGGGAAATGGCAAAGTTCACGAAGTCTAGTCTGATTCATCATTTTACAAAAAAAAAAAAAAAAAGTTCAAGCAAAGGGGGGCGTACGCCCTCTACGCCCCCCTCTGGATCCGCCACTGACTTAAATCCGTTTCATTTGAACTCTGTTGATTATTTATCTCATTGGCAATCATACCACATTTCCTTATGATATATATATATACATCCATGTCATTTTGTCTCAGGTGGAAAGTTTTTATTTTTATTATAGCCCCATAATATCAAAATAAAAAGAGACAGATATATAAGACTTCATATGTCGTAATTGTACAAACAATATCAATAATAAAAAAATTACATCCCATTTCCTTTGTTCTAACAGGGGTGATCTGAGTCGGATCACCCCTACCAGATCACCCTACCTTGAGTTTCTTTGTTCTGCATGCTTTCTTTTGTTCTGTAACATTTTGGCGGGAATGTCGAACACACGATTTATACCCCTACACCGGGACGACTCGATACAAATGACTGTCAATTTAACATATTTAAACGTTGTATCCGGGGCTTAAAAAGGGTATATACTATATAGTAATATATAAAGTATATTATAATTATTGTATGGCATTCTGAACTAGATGTTATGAAGCGTAAATGTTATTTCATATAGTCTAGAAGAGCTGGGATGTAAAATAGTTATCCCACTCGGACTAGGTGTGTCCGGCCGTCGGGGTGATCTTACACTGACACATCGCGTCCTCATGGGATAACTATTACGGAAAGAGTAATTATAACAAGCTCAATAAATATTTCGGATACTTAACATATATCCTTCATCAGTATGATGTAAAATGAATCGTATCAATCTAATCTGATTTTACTAAAACAATCTTCAACGTAATACAACTCACCCAACTGACCACGCTTGTATAATTGAAAATTTCAAAGTGACTTCAAAGTTCACGCAGGTTAAGTATTTACAACAGTTTGCGTAGAAATGTATTCAAAATGAAAAGGCCTTGAGCGATTTGAACTTGTATAATTCTAAAGTTTCAAAATGACGAAGGTTAAGTAATAACAATAGAGACTGCCGCGGTAGATGTGCATTCAAAATTAAATATTCATTCTCGGCGTTGTGCGATTTTAACCTGCATAATTCTAAAATTTCAGAGTTGGTGAAGGTTAAGTATTTACAACATGCAGAGACTGAATATAGAACCTTCATGAAATGAAAATGTCAATAATTGTTCTGTGCCAGTGGTCCCTTTTCGCCTGAATTCTCTGGAGAAGTAAAATTTTCAGGATGATACCATATCACATGGTTAAAACATGACAGTTAAATTAGTGATATTAATTAATCACTTTATAATATTCACAATCTCTGAGATATTGTCTTTTCGTTCGTGCAAGTGTAATATAATTGGGATCAAAATGAACGTTGAAGGCAATACTCAAATTGCTCCAGGGATTGCCATATAATCAATTCCAGTTAAAATGTATCTTTTGCTGACAGAATGTCGATTCCTTTAGGTTTGATGCAAATGAAGTCAGGTCAACTTATATAAGGCATACTACATTAATAAAACTGATACGACGCTTTTTTGATAAAAGCTTTTTGAAAAAATGGAAATTGGTGTGTAACCCACAATATCAACCTTCAAGTAATTGTTTCTTCGACAGGGAAAGATTGATAAGAAGTGAAGTTAAGTGTTAATTTAAGTATACAAATATATAAATTGTAGTTACGTATACATTCCATATTTTTCCATTTAAAAACAAGATGACTGCATATAGAGAACCAGTATTTTATGCATGGACGTATATACCAAAGTGTTGTCTTTCTTTTATTGAAATAAAAATGTCTTTTTCTTTCAAATGAAATTAGAAACTCGTTAATAAGTCTTATAAGTAATTTAATTGAGCGTTTGACATAAAATAACTTACGAAGAGAAAGAAGCATAAAGAATGACGACATACGATTTTTTAAACCTCGAGTACATGGGTGGACACTGTTGGTACAAATATAAGAGCGAGACACGACAGACAATTCCTATTTCCACACTGCAGTATAATACCCATTGTTAATATTTCATAATTTGAATTTATGGCAAATTAGTATAGGCAGTAAAACCCTTGCTAATGTAGGGCGACTCTATGGCTGTGCGGGATGTATATATACACAGCTACGTTCGATCTGAATTTTCCAGTGGCAGTCGAAACTTCCCGTCCTTTAACCTTGCAGAACATACTTAGTTATTATATATTTTTTTTCTCCTTCTGACTATCCATGAAATAATTGCCAAGGGGCGTTTAGCAGAAAATAATCTATTCATATTTCTATTATCTATAAGGTCCTTATGTAAATTTTACATAAAGGGGAGGGGGTCATAGTCGTCTAAAAAACTCTAAAAGTATTCTATACTAGTATTTCATTCGAACATTGTCCCTTAGAAGCGTAGAGATTCTGAGAAGTAGACGTAGCCACTCCCTAAAAAAGACCGGGTGTACAGGGGGTATCTGATTCCCTTTTCCCTATCACAACTCTAACTTCCCTCCCCTTACTCCCAATCCCCCCCTTCTACTCCCACTTTCCTCCTTCTGACTCCCAGACATAAACTGGTGGTCAATAACATTTACCCAGAATATCCTTAATTTTACTCCCCTTCTTCCCCCTGTTCCCGCCTCCTGACTCCCACTTCACTCTCCCTGACTCCCACTTCAAGTCTTGCCCCTCGTTCCCTTGTGCCCTTACCCATGCCTACCCCTCTTAAAATGAAATGTCAAGAATTAAACATCCAAAGAAAAATCCTCGATCATTCCGCTGTCCTTTAACGTATGAAGGGTCTAAATTTTAGCTTGAAAGCCTATAAGGCTATATATGATAGTAAGACTATTTCCTCGACCCCGGCTATTTCTCAGCTGAAAATCGTAAATAATTTGAAATTCTCTTGCACCTTAGACATGTAGTAAACATATCCCGCTGCCAACACACGTACACACGGGTCAATATGATCTGTACCGACTAAAGTTTAATTGCTTCTTAAAGGACAGTCTACCTGTTCTTATCAGATTTTTAAAATGAGACATATAGGATCATATTTCTGTCATATAAACATTTAGAGAGACTGATTCATTTTTCATTCTGTACGGCCCCTGTTTTTAAAGTAACCAAATACCTTTCAGTAAAATTATTTTAGACTGACATGTGAAACAGGCATACATTAAACTTAATAGTGATAGTGATATGGTTACAGAAAAGACTCGAGTTATTATGTGTATAAAAAGTCTTTAAAATTGTAATCCGGGAAACTTTTTTAAAAATATTTAAATAAGTTAATGCTATTTATCAATTCCGACAAGGCGCGGATCATTTCTGAAACATTCCAAGGACTAAATCGATAAATAGTATTTTTGTCATTGACTGGCTGTTTCTTAATATAATTATAAGCATAGCCTTGAATCCAATCAACCGTATCGTGTGAAAATATGGTATAATCAATCAGTAAATAACAGTGAGGAATACTGTCATAAATTATTTTTTTCAATAACAATTGCCAAAAGGCACATATTACTATTATTTATAATAGTTAAATCGATCCGGGGGACAGACGTACAATAATTGCTTGTCTCTGCCGCATTCACTTGTCTAAATTTACACTCTTCATCAGTTTCGCTTCACACGCACACGACGATGGCTGACTTCGGATTTTATGCTTTCGTTTTTCTTATAATTCAACTCATTTTATTGGAGGTATCAGAAAGTTGTATAACTAAAAATGATTCAATTAATATCAATCCCGAGGAAATGGTAGCTAGGTCTAAATATGTGTTATATGGAGAGGTAGTTAAAAAAATAACACCGGACCCAAGGACACCAAACATTGGTACTTCATATGGAGTGGAATTTATGATTAAATGTATTTACAAAGGAAACCCAAACACAGATGAGAAGTTAAAAAATAAAGAAACTGTAATTATTGCCGGCGCAGGTAAGAAATTAAAATCATGCATTATAATTAATGTGTTTGTACTAGTGCACGTGTGATTTTACAGTTCAATGCTAGACGTTCCCCTTTATTTGATTGCTAAACACCGAGTTAAAAGTCAGGGCTGATACCACACATAAATTAATATGTACATTTATATATGTTCAAAGTAAAAATAAATTTTGTTTGTGAATATGACCAGTCGTTTATGAAATTAGATACATGTAAAAGGGACATTAAATATGACATTTGTGAATTATGGTGACAATAATACCCTCGTGACATGCAAGTTTTGACTTATATCTTATCACTACTCATATTGTTACTGATAAACTTTAAACTGTACTTGATAAATTTTATCTCTTTTCTTTTATTATAACTTTATACACAAAAGTATCAGAAAATAACAAAACCAAACAATCTTTGCTTTGTGTAGAAAACGACAATTTTATTATAAAGCTTGAGCGACAGATGGCCCTGAAAATCAATAAGTCGCAATGTGCTCTTGAAATTCGTCATTCAAGCAAGAAATTTTAATTCATATTCATCTAAATCGACAGTTACATAAAAATGACTTTGACGCCTCGTATAATGAACGGCCGATCTCCCCAGTTCATTTGCATGAAATACGACATTTGGGAGACTAAGTGGCGGATGTAGTCAATTTCTGTAAGATTACAAAGGACAATTGAAATGCCAGTTTAGTAATGCAACATATATAGATATAATTTAGTTGGATGTATCATAAATCTAATAATATTTCATAGGAATGACCATTTACGACTATCATAACTATAATGTTCACATAGATCAATAAAACTTTATGACTTGTCTTAATCAATAGATAACTATTTGTCCCATGACTATATCTCTCAACATGTTGGCGTATATTATAACGTCCTATAAACGCTGATGTTGCATACTTATTGCACTTTATTACAATATTGTGTCGCCATAGTAACGAAATATTCATCTTCTTGTATAATGACTATGATGGAAAATGAAACTAATTTTTGGAATGTTCACAAAACTGTACATTATTATTTCTAGCATCTATTTATCATCCTTGTTACTTCAGAAGAAAGATCAGTCCATTGATTTACTAGTGTCACTCAGCGACCGATAAAGCATAACTTCATCAATTTCTCAAAACAAGAAACGAGTTTGCTGATCAATTTAGATATATACTAAGAGTATATATATATACATTCCATAGAATTGATGTAATTTGACATTTAATAGCGGTATTTTAATTGCCAGATATACTATGTAACTACTGGAGACCTACTTTTTTCATAAGAAATCGTGACTGACTCTGCGACTCCCAACAGAGATTAAAAACTGTTTATATAAATGCATTTTTATGCATCTGTATACACTTGTATTCAGTTGAATGGACCCGAAATTAGTAAAATACGTTTCGTCCTACCAAGTACACTACAGAGAAAGCATTTTGTTGTTTAATATTTTGGGGAAAAAAATCAGTTCTCTAATTTACGAATGTTATTCATCTGATGCTTGGGAAGAAATTTAAATAATGCAAAGAATGTCGATTTTTTTCAATTACAAACAAATTTTAAACGTAAAAGGTCAGAGAAGCTATCAAACAATACAGTCATAGCGGCGTGAAATATGACTATACAGACATGTGTGTGGTATTTGATTGCTACGGACACAGGACAACGCCCGTGTTGTAATATTAACACGTTTGTACTGCAGTTCTGCCAGGTATTGTCCACAGATAACAGAATAATATCTATTTTTCTGTGTTATGATAAGAGATAGTTATTAGTTGAATGAGAAACAGATGCATTTTGGCGTGCATTGCGTTTTTCCTTTGCCTTTAGGCACGACATGAATGATATCTTCTCCATTCTACAAATATCATGTAACTGCATAAAGATTTGAAGAAAAAGGAAGTTCATGATACATAGATAATCATCTTTACATCTGGAGCTGACAAAAATTATTGCTATTTGCAGAATGCATTGTCAGAAAATTAAGGTTTTAATTAACATACACGACTCTTCTACATGACTGCGATAGAACATAAGCCATAATTCGCGAAACTCATGCATGGACCCTAGATCAGCTGATTTTGAAGATTCAGTTTCAACCAACATTACATTTTGAAATAAACCTTTCCGGTAGACAACTCTCTGAGAAAAGTAGTAATTTAAGTGCAGAATATCATTCTGGTGTGTTCTTGTGCTTTTACTGGGTCATTTTGGTCGATTTTCAAACATATGTCCATCAAGGTTTACCATTGGTATTAGTTTTAACGTGTTTAAAAAAAATTTCATTCTTTTTCGTTAAAATTGATTTTACACTCTGGTCAAGGCTAACAATGTACAGGAGACAAGACTCAATGATTTGAACAATTAAATCGACGTGTTAAATCAAAGGACACATAATAAGTTTCGGTGTTTAATTGGGCTGCATGCTAATGAAAGATTGTGCATGTATGTTGTTTTTATTTGTCTTGCCTGCGACCATAGTCTCTGAAGCGAGACTAAGAGGTACAGTTCACGGCGTCGGCGTCGGCATAAAGTGTTTAGTATAAATAAGAAGATGTGGTATGAGTGCCAATGAGATAACTATGCATCCAAGTCACAATGTGTAAAAAGTAAACAATTATAGGCCAAAGCACGGCCCCAACACGGAGCCCCGGCTCACACCGAACAGCAAGCCACAAAGGGCCCCAAAAAGACTAGTGTAAATCAATTCAAACAGGAAAACCAACGGTCCAATCTATATAAGAACGAGAAACACCCACGAACCACACCAACAAACGACAACCACTGAACAACAGGTCCCTACCCAGGACAGGTGCACAAAAACGCAGCGGGTCCAAACACCTCAACAGGCGCCAACCCTCACCCCAACCCGAAACAGCGGCACAACACCATAACACAAAAAGACACACAACAAAATATCATTTGAAATGGCTCAACTCGACCAAAAAGACAATACACAAAAACAAGTAAATATACACTGAACGAATAAGTTTGATCTATGACATAATATAAATAAAAAAGATGTTTCAAGTCAAAAAGACAACTTTAACCTAGGACAAAATGATGTTAAATAAAGTAACGTACATAGGTAAATTTAAATATAATTATTTTGTTGATAGTACAGAAACATTTTTAACCGGATTTTCGAAAGAAAAATCGATTATTTACCAAATAAATTTGTTATTCACCGTACCAGTACAGAAGCGAAAATTTATTTCCGTCATACTAAATACTTGATAAACATTGAAAAACAGAAATGCATTACAAATTATGTCAACAGGTCAAATTAACACGAAAGAACGATTTGAGAGTACTCGCAGTTACCGAAAGCTAGTTGAAAGCCAAAAACAATTAATAATAAAAAATCATGCATCAGAGACTAAAATCAATTAAAACACATCCCAGGCAGGGATTTAGCGTTTCAACGTCATGGACAGTCAAAGAAGACATGACTTGTGCAATGCCAAAATAAAAGTAACGACAGGCAGTAGGATAGTTAGGATTTAACCTTATAATAAATATGTACGATGTTATGTATAGACAAAACAATTTCTAAATAGAACATAAACGTGGATGTGTATATATATGTCGTGTACATGTTATTACCTTTTATACTGCACTCGTTCTATTTGAGCAGTCAAAATGCGTTGACCGTATATTTCTATGTCATATACAGTCACTGACCTGATATCACTTTTCCTCATGAATATTTAAATAGAAATTGCCGAAATTATAATTAATTATTCATACGACCTATTCAACCTGTTCTTGTTTCCAATGTATACAACGACTCAAACTTATTTCTTTTGCAATTTTTAGAAAAAAAAACATATTTCACTTGTTAATATTTTTGGTTTGCAAACTATAAATCATTATGTTTTATGCTTATTGTTGATATTTTAGTTCATTCTCAAACAAATTCGTTCACCATCGACTGCGGGTTTCAACAGGTAATGTACATTTCATTGTTATGTATATTTCCCCGCCTGCATGATATGAGGCGTTTTTATAAAAGGGGGAAGTTTCCCAATATTTAAATCAAATAATAACATTAACACATTAAACAACAATTGAAAATGTTTTTTTTAGATTGCAGTATAAAGACAATAATAGTGCATTGACTTGACATATCAACGATATAAGGATTCGACCCGAAACGGGGGAAAAAGCTCGGCAGAGCCTCGCATTTCCCCGTTTCTAAGCCTCATCCTTATATCGTTGATATGTCAAGTCAATGCACTATTATTGTCTATGTACAAGCCATTCACACTCACAAAAAACCCGTACACGCAATCACCTGTACGATGCAATCATACAAGTTATTACCTGTACAAACATTGTACAAGCAATCACTTGTACAATTTCCGTTGAGGAAATGATAACAAGTTGTACAACTCACTATCTTTGAGTTATATAAGTTTTTAGGTTTGTTACTATTTTACACCTTCGTAGTAGTAGTTGAGTTTTGCTTGCTTATATTTGGTGAATAGGCGCAAATATAAGTGTCAGTAGGGAAAATTTACACACACACCTCATCTCATTCTATACCTCAAACCATTATATTAGTACTAGCTAACCGAGTGCTTACCTTGTCTATTGTACAGCAATGGTGAAACTGTCTATAGCAAACGCTTTACGGATTTCAAGAGTTATCTCCTGAAGTAATATAGAAAATCTTGAAGGAACTAAACTGGTATTTTAATGACTGTTCACACTAAGGTCATTTATCAGGACATCCCATATTGTCAATTGCAACTGCATCAGATTAATGGGAGACTTTATATGATACTTCTGGTGTCGTTTATAGTGATTAAACAAAATTCTAAACGTTATGAGATAAAGAGATGTGGTATGATATGGAATTTATAAATGTGAAAATATCCATCAAACTACTTTGGATGGTTGGTCGATCACAAACATCATTCTTTGTACAGATTCCTGTCCCGAGCCAGAAGCCTGTTTTCAAAAGCTTGGTTGTCGTTGTTTATCTGTCGTAGTTGTTTGTGTAAAAGGTTAAATAAAAGCTTTATATGATGATGACAATTTTCTTTTGAGTTGTTGATATCCCGGGCTTCTTTTTTTTTTTACTTGCTATTCGGTATGGGTCGTTTAACTCATTGTAGAAGGCCTAACCTCCTTGTTTTAATAAAGAATATAGTACATGTAGTTGCATTTGATGACCTCACCAGAAGGTGTCGGTATCGACTAAAAATGTGGGGAATTTTTTAATTTAGTTACTGGATCTTTCTCACCTGTAACATCATATTTTCATCAGACACCATTTATAGTAAATCAATAGGTTGTCATAAAGAAACATGAACGCCATATTGTGTTGTTGATGATGGCTTGCAAAGTCATTCAGTGATGATTCAATTATTGATTAATTAATACCAACATTCTATTACTCTGCTCCAGTTGATTATTGATTACATTACGGTGTTGTAGTTCACACGTCGTGTCGATTAATACATGTAATATAGATGGGCTAAATATTTGCACGTGGCCTTTAAAAACAGACTCGGTTAGGTGGGATGTTTCTGTATACGGACATGGATACTATACTGCACATTGCTGAAGTAAACATAAATAAATAAATAAATAAATAAATAAATAATCATACAAATCTTGGTGCCAACTTCAAAAATGTAATACAATTAAACCAAATGTCAAAATTAAGATAAAGATTTTGGACTGAATACTTTGAAAATAAAGTTAACGTAAAACTCTGTTTGTCGATTTAAATAAAACTATCGAGGCTCATAAATTATTCAAAAGCAGCATCACAAAATTAAAGGCGCTTTTGGACGCACTGATAGATCTCTTTTTCCCTAATTTTCATATACCAAATCTAAAACTCAGATGAAGAACATTTGATGGACAATAGATTCAAATTAAGCATGAATAAAATACTTCACGTACAGGGGTTCAGCTGGCAACCTGTTATCCAGTGTTTATGTTGTTATCCAGTGTTTATATTGTTGTTATCCGCCTTATTTGTATTTATTTCATGAATAAAATACTTCACGTATAGGGGTTCAACTGGCAACCTGTTATCCAGTGTTTATGCTGTTATCCAGTGTTTATATTGTTGTTATCCGCCTTATTTGTATTTATTTCCTGAATAAAATACTTCACGAATAGGGGTTCAGCTGGCAATCTGTTATCCAGTGTTTATGTTGTTATCCAGTGTTTATGCTGTTATCCAGTGTTTATATTGTTGTTATCCGCCTTATTTGTATTTATTTCATAGATGCAGTATACATCAGCTCGTTTGTTTTCTCTTTTGAATTGTTCCACATTTTGTCATACCGGGACCTTTTATAGCCTACTTTATCGTTTGGGTTTTGCTCATTGCTGAAGGCCATATACGATGACCTGTAAATGATAAAATCTTTGTCCTTGCCAATCACATCATACCAAATCTCCTTTATATTTAGTTGGATTAAAATCTCATTTAACTATCATTTTTGAACAATTACTGATTAGTACAGTCAGGCACTCTGAATAATGTTTATTTGAAAATTTGGTACCGGCAATATCCAATTTCCGAGAATGAAAACTTGTTCTTTACAGAAGAACTAGAAGCAATTGAACGAAGACCGTCAACTGCAAATATCTTTTAAATTATACCTTCGAATATTTAAAAGTACTGAAAATGGCAAATTCTTTATGTTCATAAATTATTGTTGAGATACTTCAAAACATCACTCAAAACGCTTTCGTTTTTGCCTTTGAATATGAAAACGAATGACTAGAAGATCAGTACATTTTGGTTTGTATTACTGATACAAGTATACAAGTATATACCCAACTCAATAAAGATATATTATGTCGCCAAACTTTAACACACTAGAAAAATATATTTTTCAGGTATCGTGAGACCAAACTGTTATTCATTTGAAGTAAAACCAAAAGAAGATGTCACCAATTATGTTGTTTTTCTCCAAGATGATGGAAACCATTTAGTGCCATCGTATGGTGCACCTGATAATATCGCATACCAAGATCTTTATGAATTGATTCTTGTTTGTGATCTGGATCCTGTTGGACCAAGTGGTTAGTATTTTTGTCTTATATGTGTCCGTCCGTCCGATCTTGTTAGCGCTCTCACGTTTACAATTCTGGTCAGATTTTAATGAAACTTATATCATAGGTTTATATCAGCAATGTCTTGGACGAGTTCAAAAATCAGTGCCAATCAATTATTTAAAAAAAAAGTTACCCCTTTGAAACAGTAATTATATGGAAAATTGCCATCGTTAGCGCTCTCATTTGTACAATTCTTGCCAGATTTTTATGAAACTTATTTCATAGGTTTATATCAGCAATGTCTTGGACGAGCTCGAAAATCAGTGCTGATTAATTATTTTTTAAATTATGCCCCTTGGAAACATTATTTATATGGAAAATTGCATCGTTAGGGGACGACCATTTGATATTCTGGGGGGGGGGGGGGGGGGGGGGCAGGAGGATTTGTTTAGGATGGGTTATTTATTTTTGAGGACCAAAAGGACAGATTATTTATTTTCTGCACTGTTGAAGCATGATTTTTCATTTTCATTAAAACAAGGGACTGATTATCTATTTTCACAATTATATTTATAATATTTGAAAACATACAATTTTTAAATTCTTAAATAAATAACATACCGTAGTCAATTAAGTCAATCAGAATTAATCATCATCCTCTGGAAGTTAATCTTCTGAATTGCAAACTGCATATATTGCATACGTACAAGGTATTAAAGCTGGGCTGTAACTAGCCTCTTTTAAAAGTTGTCAAACATTTTTGCAGAGCGGAGCGAGGCGAAAAAAAAATCAGCGAAGAGTCTGGGGTTCGCTGAAGGCCCCAAGAAGCTATAGAAAAAATCGCGCAAAATCATGCATTATGCGCGTTTCCCAGACCCTTTCTTAATCTGAAACGCAAGTTCTGTTTTAATTTTTTGACAATATTCTGGTCTCAAAGCAAAATATATAGATTCAGTGTAAGACTTTTAGTTTTTAGAGACAACATCAAAAGACCAATATGTAGGACAAAGCAAAAAATGTTTCAGTTTGCAGAAAAACCTTTTATACCTGTCAATTATGTTTTTTTTTCAAATTAAGTTAAGAGGGGGTTGATTATCATTGATATAACTATGTCAAGTCAGTTTTTATAACACATTTCAATTACAACTTGATGTAGTTCCTAATTGGGATACAATTTAAAGTTGTCTGTTATAGACAAAATTTAAAGGTCCTTAAATATAATAAAACTCAAGTTTAAAACATAATTACTAAATTACAAATAGAATGCAACACTAAGAGAATAGTCATAAAGAAGGGCAATCAATGAACAAAAGACAAACCCGGGAACAGATAAAACACAAAACGACACACATTATAGACAATCAACACTGAAAAATAAAAATAAATGAGAAATATGGATCTCAAAAAACAGAGGCTACGTCAGAGGGTGAACAGAACTTGCTTCTTGCAAGACACTTGCCGTGAAAACAATTTGATATGAAGACAAGCTTTTGTTTTGAAATTTCCAACATGAGACATTTGCCTCAATGTAGTTACGGCCCTGTAATAAAAGTGAGGTAAATGTTCACGAGACAATATACCTCAAGTGAAATGAAACCAATTTTCAAACATTTCAAATACATTAATATTTATATTATTAAAAGATTTTGGAAGTTTTTCCCGGCGAAAAAAATATGAACAAGACGAATTTTGGAAGAATCTGGTGCCATCTCATACTTCAGAATAGCATTTATAAAATGGCTTAAAAGACCTACCAAGTTATTTTCAATACATTTTAAGTCAGGTTATTTATTTTCAAACTACCACAGAACAAACCATTCATTTTTGTTATTATCAAGGCTGATATTATTGCGTACTGTTGTACGTTTGTTTTTTCTACATTGGCTAAAGGTATAGGGGGAGGGTTGAGATCTCAAAAAACATGTTTAACCCCGCCGCATTTTTGCGCCTGTCCCAAGTCAGGAGCCTCTGGCATTTGTTAGTCTTGTATCATTTTTAATTTTAGTTTCTTGTGTATAATTTGGAGTTTAGTATGACGTTCATTATCACTGAACTAGTATACATAATTGTTTAGGGGCCAGATGAAGGACGCCTCCGGGTGCGGGAGTTTCTCGCTGCATTGAAGACCCATTGGTGGCCTTCGACTGTTGTCTGCTCTATGGTCGGGTTGTTGTCTCTTTGACACATTCTCCATTTCCAGTCTCAATTTAATGAGTTATTTATTTTCAAAATCCTCCTTGGAATTATTGATTATATGAATAATTGCATTGTAAGCGCTCTCATTTGTTCAGTTCTTGCTAGAATTTTATGAAACTTATATCATAGGTTTGTTTATATCAGAAATGTCTTTGACACTTTCGAAAATTAGTTCTGATAAAATATTTTTAACGAGTTATGCCCCTTGGAAATATGAATTATAATGGAAATCACATTGCATTTGCTCTAAAGCTTTTATTTCTCTTAAGATATTAATTAACAGATCTGAAGAACAAAAAAAGTGCATTTTTTAGTTATTGCCCTTGTACCTTGGATAGATAAAAGATGTGCAACGCAGGGGAGACAATTACCATTAATGTCAATCTATTATTGCCTCTTAAAAGAACCATCATCCAATGTATATGCCAATAATCTTCTATACTACTCAGCTATTCTGTCAACTGTCAACTGTCTAGGTCTACAGACACACCCTGTTGGCTATGTGTCACAAATGTAGTAAGGGGAAGTACATTAGAATATTTTTTTTTGGAGGGGGCGGGGGTGAGGTTTGTCAAAATATTTCACAGATGGAGATGATACAGATAAGATAAGATATTTTTTATTCCAATTAAAGGGCCTATGAAGAGCAAAGTAAATTTATTACAAGGATTTTAATAATTGACACAATAATTTAGATATTTATATGTTAATATGAATTATTTTAATAATTTCAATTCTAAGATTTTAAACCAAAGCCATACCAGAGCCATAAGCATATAAGTCAAAAAGCATAACAGTTTTAAATTCAATTCTCCTTTGTTAGAGAGAACTATTTAACCTTTACACATACTGATGATTGAAAAATTCTCACAAAATTGAGATTGAGTAATCATAAATTAAGAATTGAAACTGGCAGTCACATGAATGCAGGTTCAACTCTTCAGGTAAATTGGAATATATTCCAAGATATGAAAGACTTTGTAATTATTGCACTTTGAATGTGATTGAGGATGAGCTCCATTTTGTATTGGAATGTCCTTTATATGCAGCATCAAGAAAAGTTTTACTAGATAGTCTATTTATTAAATATCCAAAGGAGAAGGTTCACGAAGGATTAAAATTGGCCCTAAATTTTTGATGTTTTTTTAAATTGGGTTAAAAAATTACAAATTTCCCATAGAAATACTTATGATAATACTATTAAGACAAAAATATATTTTTTTGGCACCTTCCTTTAAAATTTATTAAGTTATGACCCCTTAAATAAACATTATTTGTATTTAAAGGTCAATTTTGGTAAATTTTTTCCATAATTTTAATTGTTTTTGGCATAATTAATCCAGGCCGCCATCCACGATCCAAAAAGTTTTTATATTGATGAATCCTATATCAAAATTGGAATCTTTCGGTTACAAAACATTTTGGATCGTAGGTGGCGGCCAAGGTTTTTCTAAAGCTTTTAGGTCTGCAATTTTGCCCAAAATCATCATATTTTGACAAAATGTCCTAAATGACTATTACTTTTTAGAATATTATGTACTTTTATTTAGCATAAAGGCTTTTGAAATAGACCCAATTACGAACTATTTTGTGACCTTTTTGGTGTTTTATGATAAAGTTGATATTTTAGGCCATTTTGAGCCATAAGTGAACCTTGTCCTTTGAGGATACTAAACTTAGAGAATTTATTCATTTGGATTATGTCAAATAACAACAAAAGTTTTATAACATCTTTATGCAAATACCTGAACATAAGTTTTGAAACTAGAAAACTAAAAATTGGAAAATAAATTTACCAAGTTGACACATGTACACCTAAAGGAGCAACCATTTAACTTCAAAGGGGGGGGGGGGTGTTATGGTTTTTTTGTCTGAGTCAGAAAATTTTTTTTGCAAACATTTTTTTTTAGTTTTTTTTCAACGCTATCAATCAAATTATTTTTTTCAAAATTAAACACATAGTGGTGTACTGATTGATATGATGTGCTGGGTAAAGCATGGTTTATTTTATAGTTGGATTGGGCTTTGAACAAGCTTTCATTAAGTACAACTATATACCGTCTTAGATTAGTATTATGTGTCTTTTGTTAAGTATCAATCTGATGACAGTCAAACAGTGGCCTTCATTTCCAACTTATTTTTACAGTCTGCATTGTATTGTTACACGACTGTCCAAGGGGAGGGTAGAGGTTGAGCACTCAAAACCCTTGCTGGTTACCTCTGTCTCAGTGTATATGGCTCTTCCAAACCAGGAAAGAGCCTGTAATCAATAGGTTTTCATTGGTTGTTGACTTGCTGTCTGCTATATTTGTCTTTTGTTTATTGTTGAAGCATAATCAGTTTTCTCTTTAAATTTTTTTTTACAATTCTCATCCTGGGATCTTTTACAGCAAACTGTAATTGTATCATTGCTCATTGTTGAAGCTTGTTTAGTGACATGTAGTTAATCACAGCTTTGTCCTTTGGTCCTTTGGTCTTTTGTGAATAGTTGTATGTCTTGAATTATTTCTCATATCCTTTCTTATGTCAGCTAATGATTAGCCTTCTTTTAATACTGGAGCATGCTATATTGTTTATTTCATACTATAGGTGGAGCACTAAAAGATGATTGTCCTAGAAGTGAACCACCAGATTGTGTAAGATACAAATTCCCAACTACCCCTAAGCCTGTAACAGTTGAAGTGGAAAAACCACAGCTACTAACTACACCAGGTAAGACACTTTTTTTAGGTATATCATAAAAGTTTGAAAAACAAATTAATAGAATTCAGAATGGAACGGTGAATGTGTCAAAGATACAATAACCTGACCAAAGAGCAGAAAACAGCCCAAAACATTCTTTCGGAGAAACTTTTTAAAAATAATATTAAATATATTGAAATAAAGCTAAATTGTAAGAAAAATATATATCAGAGTTCCAATTCCGGTGCCTTCTGTGATCTTTGCTATCATATGTGCAACTCATCATTTGCTGGTGAAGGTGCATCAGGATATATGAAGGTCATCGAGGTATAAGAATGACAGAATTTTTTTAATAATTAGCCAAAATGTATATAGCCTATTTTGTCTTAATATAATATAAGTTATAGTTCACTGAATGTTTTTTCAAGATACAGGTTTTGAAAAATGGACACATGTGGTAAGGCTTGTACAAAATAAAAATCATTATTATCCTGATGAATAGAAGGAAAACTGAATTCCTTTATAAAATTAAATTATCTGAGTTATTGCCCCTTTTTGATTGAGTTCATATTTTTTTCAATCAACCAAAACAAATCTGTATTTGTAAAAACAATCCTCATAATAAGATGAAATCACACAATTTTCAAACATCTTACAAATAAATTGCAAAATGCCTAACATCCTCATGTCTCATTAAAAATCAACACTGATTACATTCTGATTTTACTATCTAAGATACCAGTTTTCAGAATCTGAGCACCACATCTCTTTCAAACATGTTGAAGTTACTTCCATCACCCATGGAAAGGAATGATTTAAATTACATTAAATATTCATATTTTTCATAAAACAATCATCAGGGATTTTTTTTACTGTATATGCATATTAGTTTGAAGTAAACTATTTTCTTTTGTTATTAACTCTGTGGATACTACACTATCATTTGTGTTGTTCATTACACAGGAAATTTGAAGTAAGCAATTTTCTTTTGATATTAACTCCATGGATACTATTAGCTATCATGTGTGTTGTGGAAATGAACAAGGATATTCTTATCTTTTCAGCACCGGAACCAGAACCCAAACCTAAACCAGAACCAAAAGAGCCTGTTAAAGGGGACACAAAAGGCCAAGAGACAAACGATGGAGGTGGAGGAAAAAATGGCACAGCTGCTATCCCTAAACTTACAGTTTTTAGTATATTTCTAGGTTTACTAAGTGCTTTATATGTGTCTTAAACTGGACATTCCATATGGTCTGAAGGCTTAATCAAATAATAATCAAATAATTTATTTAAATTTTTGTAAGGCTGGTTGTACCAGCTGTAAATATTCTGAAACGACTCTCTAGATAGTGTATGACCTAATATGCAAAAGAATGCAGATGTCATGTTTCATTTCTTCAACGACATTTTTCTGGAAAATATTGATTCTGATATATGGGATTAATTTTATGCAACATGTTGAACAAATATATAAATTAGAGTATGAAAATAATGCAAAACAAAAGTATGGGTCATGGAAGAGCTTGCATGGAAACAGGAATCAGAAATGTTCAAATCTACAAGTAATGATAGCCTTATTGTCTGGAAACCATGGATTGTGACTCAGTTTGAGATTCTTTAGAAAATTTCACAAGTCACCTGCTGACGTCATTTGAGTGTCCTATTTGTTGTGAAAGAACACAATTTTAAAATATTTTTTATTTTTGAAATTCTGTTTGTGAATTTAAATTTTAGCCACCATTATTTGATATATGATGTAAAAAAAAAAACACACGTCTGGGCTCTCAGTCATAACACTTTACTCAATACTCAGAGTACAAAAATTTGTGCTCGAAACACCAAATCCAGTGTTTTGATTGGTTGATTTCTGAGTCTGTGTATGATAATCGTGCTTGAAAGTTTTATGACCGTAAGCCCTGATGTTAGACCAATAGTTGTTTGTGTTTTGATCAATTTGAATCTAAGATTATTGAAAAATAGTAAAAGAGATTCTGTTTAAAAAAAAGTAAACCTCCCGTCAAGTTTGTATCTAAAGGGAAAATGACCCTCCATTAGAACATACAAAGGACATCAAATCCAATTGATGTGGCTTAAAAGTATGAGTTGATGCATTCCGTAGAGCTTCCATTATAGGTAGTTCTGTAGGAAAAGATGTAAATTTATTATATATTTTATCTGAATTAATACTTATATCAATTCCCTAATAAAAAAAGTTCGTTTTTGGAATCACACAATTTCTACGAACAATCCAATCGAAACATGTGATAGACACCTGTAGTTTATAGATACTATAGTATATAAATTACCCTAGAGCCACTGCTGCAGATTGTGAATAAATTGAAGTATTTTCCATTTTTGAAATTTTCATATTGCATAATCTACAATTTATTTCACAAATTACTCGCTTAAAGATAAAAGTGGGAGTGAATATTTTGTCTATATGAAGCATTCTATGAATGTGAATTAGTTTATTTTTCATCTTTTTTTAATTTATATTGCTAGATTAAAACATCATTAAGCATAACTTTTAAACAGCAAACTGTTGCAAGAATGTTATATTACAAACATAGGTTAGACAAGAGTAGAAAGTGCTTATTACAAGTGTTAGATTTTTACATTGATATATTTGTTGTAAAAAGGTTGTTTTAATCATTTTAATGAGATATGAAACAAGTTTTTATGACTGTTGAGTGAATCAACCTTTATCTTTACCACTTTTATGATTGAAATTGATCAACTCAATTATTAAATTTGAATTTAAGCAAAATATTTAGGAGTATGATTTAGTATTCTCCTTGTTTTGGTAACTTCGACTGCAATATTTAAAAAAAAATATCTACCTCAGTTTGGAGAAAGATTGCAGTGAAAATTGATACCTAGTGTATCTTAATGAAACTGAAAATCTAACCAATTTTCTTAGTATCCTTGATATAAGTATAATATACTCTTAACGTTTATAATAATCAAGACTTTACAGTGACAATGTGCCAATATTCGTTGTCTAACATACTTATACATGTACATCTTATATATGCGCAGCTATATGACTCTGTTGTTCAAGGGTATGCAATATTTAATTACATTAATACTCTTATTTACTAATATTTGCAGCAAAGATTGTTTCTTGATGTAAAACATCCATTTTGTTTATTTATGACCTTCAGGTACTTAGTATTTTTGCTTCTATTGGCTCATTTTAATAGTATGATACATAACCAACTTCTGTGGTAATAAGTGTATTTATGTATACTTAAAATATGTAACTATTATTTGTATGTGTTCCAGACGATTTTATTTTGGTTACTGGTAATTAGATTTACCCATCCTACATAATGATGAGTAGATGAATACCGGTAATTATAAGATGTTTTTAGCATGATTAGTCTTCCAACACATTTGTTTATAGAAATATAAAAATAGCAGTGGTAGATTCAGGATTTCAAGTTAGAGGAAGTAAAACACTATATTCTAAGAATACTGTCAACAGTGTAAGTGAGGTGTGAATTTTGCTAAAAAATTATACCCCTCCTCCTTTTTTTAATCTAAAAATCTTAGGTTTAAAATATTTTTATGCAAAATTTAAGGAGATGACTTTGGGGGTTGGTTAACTCTGAAAGAATTGATATTATTCACTTAGTTCTTGCATGCTGATAGCTTATATGACTGTTTTTCATTTTTATCATTTATGATTCCCTTTTCATTTGCATTCCATGATAACTTTTTTTTTTGTAAATAATTAGTTTATAATGGCACACTCAGGATTACTGGTATACAAATTGCTTTGCTTACAGTTAAATTTATGAGTTTAATTGGTCCTCTGTGAATCCCAATTAAACACTTGAATTGGTTACAATAGAATGAGAAGTAAAATGGAGCAGGCAGTATTGCCCATTTTTTTTATGCATTTACACACATACAAATAAGATCAGTGGTAGAAAAAAAACGAACTGTTCAATCATAAGTTTTAGGATACTGATTTCGACAAAGAAAACAAATTCTTTATGAAACAAACAAACATTACTTGTGGCTGTATCTACTTATAGGGTGCTTATAAATGTGGTCATTGTACAAGCACCAATATCTAAGTATTGTTCTAAAAAGTAAATTCTGTTTTACCTCAAGCATTCCATCAAATTTAAGTAAACAAAAATTGGCACTGAGACATATAATTCATAAGTTTAACACTGAAAGCAAGAAAGAGAAAATTCTCTAATTGAATTGTTTATTTTAGACTAGCACTTGTACCCAATAATCAATAATATAATTTTTTAGTATTATTTTAGAATAAATAGCTGTTTAAAACTGCAGTGTGTTTAAATCTAGTGAAAACTCATTCGGAATTTCTTCATTAATGGTCTTGTGTACATATAAGAATGTAAAATTGAATTTTCATTATGAATGATTGTATCAGGTACGTGTATATTACCGGTACAATGTATTTGTAATCATTCTTTATTAGTGTGATCCAAGAGAGACAACCCAAAATAAAAATATAGTAAATTTTATAATGTTTTACAATTTCTGTTGCAGTATTTATTTATAAGCTTAACCTGGGACATAATTATAATAGTCCCAGGCTTAATTGAAAAAAAAATGTCAATAAATACTTGCTATTTTAACTTTCAGATTCTCTTTTTCTTAATGAACAGTTTTGATTTATTATGTTTTCTCTGCCTTAGATGTTTTTTCAGCTAATTTTTTCATCATCTTTTTATCTTAATTCATATTTATTCTATTGACAAATTTTAATATTATAAGTTATCATTCATCTTATCAGTAACCTAGGAGAAATAAATCCCAGATTAAAGTATTTAAATGTTTGTATATTAGTTTAGAAATATATCTCCTAACATAACCCAGTTTATTGTGGCATGACATGTATGGGACTTTCAACATTTTAGAAATGGAAAAGAAGAAAATAAATACTTCAATTCTGGTCCTTGCCCTCTTTTTGAATTAAAATGTGTTTATGAATATTGTGTGTGCCATCCTTCGTACATAGTCATGTTTTTTTTTAATCAGTGGAGTCACAGTGGGGCTTATGTCCTTCTGACTCTTTGTGGTTGTTTGAACATTATTTAACCCACCTGACGTGTATAGTCCTTTTACTACAGTGAATATAGTACAAAATGTATATATTAGGTGGATTAAGGAAGGTCTATTCCAAAACCCTTGGGTTGATTTTTTTAACAACTAAAAACCTTCAATGTATAGTTCGGGATATTTCAGTGTGGATTTAAAATTTGATTAAAAAGAAAACAATTTAGGAAAAAATTCTTATACAGTAGTCGTTGAAATAAATTTCATGAAAATACATGGATACATCTACATTATCTGTAAATAGAGAAACATGTTATAATGTAGGTGGACACAGTGTATGATCCTTTGACAACAATGACGTTAGGAGAATATTTAGATATAGTGCCTTCTATGTTGTATAGTTTTGTTGTAATATTTAACTGATATAAATCCAGGGTACACTTGTATTAAAATGTGTCAAATATGTGTGTACACTGCCAATCATCTGTTTGTAAGATGCATCATAGTGCTCTGCTTTGAATGTGTGTGGAAACTTTGTCTAATTTCTCCATGCCAAAAAGAGATTGACATTTATGATATATGCATATATGGTTTCACCAATTTTAATTTGATGTGCAATGTATATGAAAAGAAATATTTTTAAATGATCAAGATAACACTTTTTTATTCATACGAAAAAATCTGTTTTATAAAAGATAAGTAGGTATTATAATGTTAATACAGAAAAATCATTTTTAAATGGAAAAATACCCAATATTTTTATTTAGGAGTTCGAATTCATAATTAACTTTTATCTATAAAATATTTTTTTTAATGGACTTAAAAAACTTGACGATAGGTCTGCTTGAATCTTCATGTAGTATTACTTGAAAAGGTCCAAACTTCTGGATGAGTTTATGGATAAGAATTCAGTAATGTCTATCTTTGTATAGAATTTCAAGTATACAAGAACCAAAATGTCAAAGATTTGTTTACAAATTGATTGTGAGGACTTGATATTAAAATGAAAGTCCAAATAATATTCAGATCAAGTTTCATTTAATAACACCGTTTATTCAAAAGATGAAAACACTTTGAATTTGAGAACAAAAAATCATATTGTAAAAAGACATCTTAAACAGTTTACTGGGATTAAGTCAGCTAGCCTCTTTAGTAAGCTAAATGCATGCATAAGATCAATCAGATCTATTATTTCAAATTCAAAACTTTTTAGAAACTTTTTAATAAATATACTTTTTTATGTAGCAGATTTATGTTTATTCATACATTTAAAGAAGAAGGAAGTAAACTGAAATGTATACCCAGCAATGATCATATTAATGTTTATTTTTAAACATTTCTGTGTTTCTCATATATTCAGAACATTAATTTAAACTGCTTGATATTTTTTACAATGATGACATTGTTAATAATAAAGTAAGTTGTGCTCCATGAAGGAATCTGATATTGATGATAAGAAGAAACGTGGATATTTTATAACCATGGTTTCTCTAAAAGAAACTTTCTTTTGATATGCAATTAAACAAACATGATTTATATTTATTTAATGTATGTATTTAAAATTTCAAGCATTACAAGTATGCACACAAAGAGTATTTTTTAGAGATGTTTCACTTTCTGTGATATTCTTAACAGGTGTGTCATAAAAAAAAAAGGTTTATGAAAAAAAGGCTACACAAAAGGGTTTATTTTAAATCTCCTTATATTGTATTTTGGATATAATGAAATAAAATATGGGGCTATTTTTGTAAGATTTGAACAAATAGTTAAATTTGGTCCTTTTTTCAGTTTTTTCATGTATATAAACAGGGTAAAACATTTCAATCATACAGAGTCTGTTGCACTATTGTACAAAATAATCAAGATAATACAAAAGGGGCACTTTTGGAATCCTTTATTTTCTATTAAAGTTTTTGCCCAAATTATACAGCCCCTTATTATGATCCTGTACTTATAAGAACATTGAAATATTACCTTATTTGAAACTCATTTGTACAAAGTTGCTTATATTAGATTTTAATATCTGAAATCAATTGAATAACAGCTGGGATTTTTGTCTAACATCTGTTGCTGTCTGTCTGATTTTCATATAGACCAGTACAAACATACTGAAATCTAATAATCATAATCAATTCTAAAATTAATATGTTTGAAAAAACTTTACAAATAGAAATTAGAGCTGTTACATAATATAGCAAGCAACTGTGCAATAAGATTATCATTAAACCATTGATAATTAGTGTGCAACTGTGTATCTTATATATATATGTGTATAATTGATTTATGTTATGTTCAGCTCAATTTGTATTTTTTGAATTTAATATACAAATATTAATAAAAAGATTGAAGTTGTATGCTTAATGGTTTTGATGTTTTTCTTTTATATAATTTGCAAAACATCCAATTCCAATTATTACCTTGCCTGCTGGAAAAGACTTGTATGACATGTTTCCATGACTTGGCCCCTGTAAAGACAAAAATAAGAAGATGTGGTATAATGATTGCCAATTAGACAACTCTCCACCAGAGACCAAATGACATAGTTGTTAACAACTATAGGTCACCGTACGGGCTTCAACAATGAGCAAAACCCATACCACATAGTTAGCTATAACAGCCCCCAAAATTACAAATGTAAAACAATTCAAATGAGAAAGGTACACATTTTCGTCAATTGCTAATTCAACTACATGTCAAATATGGGCCAACTTGGTAAGGATAATCTATTGATGCATATGGCCCATTTAATTTTTTTTTATTTTAACCAATACGTTATTAAATATGCCACCAGGTCAGAGTCAATTAATTCATGATTCGCATTAGTCAATTATTAATTCTCTGAAACAACAACTGCAACTCTTCTCAAACTTCATAGGAATGAATTATGAAAATCCTGGACGAAGAATTGCGTCAATAAAGTTACATAGTTCCAATTGAACTGTTAAGACAATTTCGTTTTCCTCAATCTGACATTGGATGCAAGTTTCTTTATATCTTGTTTGTTACAATCTGGCAAAATATGACTAGATGTCAGAAGCAATTCTTTGTCCTACTTATTACTTGTCCGATGTTTTCGCTGTGAATACAAATCCAAATCATATATTACTTTAAGGTACGACTCTTTTTGTCGGGTGCATGATGGCTATGGTGCTAAACATTTTTTAGTTACAACCAATATGAAATTAAATCTTGAACTCTTCAACATGATTTCTAATCTGAGCTACAATTATCAGGAATAATGTATGAAGCGTTCTCTTCTGACAAAACAAATCAAACATTTCACTACAAAAGTCTAAAAGTCTGAAAAGACCAGTTTTTGTCTTAATTTGCATGAACTTTTACTCGACATTCTCCAAAAGTATGACTTGTGTCTTAATTTTTCTTGACAAATTCTCATTTATATTAAATTTGTATGAAATTTACTCGACATATTCTCGACATTCTGAATATGGTCTTAAAATTTCTTGACATTTGAATACTGTCTTGAAATTTCTCGACATATTCTCGACATTCTTATTTTTTCTCAGTATGGCTTGACATATTCTGAACATTTTGAATTGTGTCTTAAATTTACTTGACAGTTCTGAGTTTTACAAATCATGACCAATATTTATGATATAACTTTAATCTTTATTTCTCTTTATATGATATACTGTTGTTTCAAGTTACACTTCTTTACAACAAAAATAAAAGTTGGGCATGTAAAATAATTGAAAATTTGGGTATATAAATATTTTTACAAATGCAAATATGGCTATGAAATCTAAAGTATAAAATAATTCAAATGTGGGTGTGTTGAAATAAAACAATTTCAATGTGGGTTTTTAAATAATTACAAATTTCGATTCCTAAATCTTATAAATTAAATGATTCAAACCAATCATACTGTAGACATATTTCATTCTACATTCATAATATTCAATGTTGATATGGTAAATAATTATTATACCAAAATGTGGTTTATATAAATAGCAAATTATGATGATATACAATTTTAAATCATTCATTTAACAGAAGAAAAATTTGTGTAATGTCATCTGTTGGAATATATTAAGTATTACACATGGACAGGATGTACTCCATAAAATTAAGGTATTCCACACCCCAGAGTACAAGCAACTGTCAAATAGAAGTTATTGCTTTACCTGTAATCAGCCATACAACTTATCAGTTGACCGACCATGCCACTACAATTTAAAAAGTTTGTTGATAGATGAAAATGAAAATCATCATTTTGATGAAAAAAAATTGAATTGAAATGGATTTTCTTCATCAAAATTATGAAGTTAATTATTTTAACATAAAAACAAATTGAATAATTCCCAAAGATTAAAAGAAAATTATTATCTACTCCAGGAATAATAAAAAAAATGTATTTATAATGGGTCCCATCAATGATTTCTATAGAAATCATCGGTCTTATGAAATGGTTCTCAAACAGACATGCATAATATAGATCTAAACATTTTTTTCTTTTCAGGAAGGAGTTATCACAAATATTTATTTTTGATAAAAAATTATAATATTCAACACTCAAATTTGAATAAAAAATGTTTTTGGGTTGTTCTAAAAAATGAATAAGGTTTTTAAATCAAGATGGGAACAAATTCTTTGACTTAAACGAAAGCCCCCCCCCCTCTTTTATAGCCACACAAACCCAAAAGATGAATTGTGGGGTCCAAAAGAGATACAAGACACCTATTTTAGTAAAGCAAATTTGACTGGCAGTTTTGCGAACGGTAAAAATCTAAATGCTGTTTGTCAATACCTTCGACTTATATTCCAAGTGAAAACAATTACTTAAATGTTTAATAAAAATAAATCAAAATTAAACTACATGGGGGATTATTCAGGGTATTCCAACTTAGTTGCACCAAAAGGGTATCTTACTATACCAAATTAATCCTTGATTCTTCAAAGTTTAGTTTAGCCATAATAAAAAGGAGTATATAACAGCAATAGAATGTCATAAACAGTGCAGAATAAGTCTGTTCACATTTCAGGCGAAATAATACTGTTGAGATAGTGTCAAGACATATTTAAGACTGTCAAGAACGTGTCGAGACATATTCAGACATTATTAAGAATGTCAAGAATATGTCGAGACATATTCAGACATTATTAAGAATGTCAAGAATATGTCAAGACAGATCGAGACAAATTTAAGACAGTCAAGAATTGGTCGAGACTAATCCAGACTCTTATCAGATGATACAGGAAGTGTCGAGAAATTTTAAGACAATGTTCATACTGTCAAGACACTTGTCAAGAACCTTATTAGACAAATTCATACTATGTCAAGAATTTTTAAAAATTATTCAGACAAATTAAGAATGTCGAGTAAAAATTCATGCAAATTCAGACAAAAACTGGTCTTTTCAGACTTTTTGACTTTTGTAGTGTTTGATGATCAGGAGAACAAGTCCGATCCTTAACATAGAAGTTTCATTCTGAGACTAATAGTTTCATTGCAGCTGATTGGATTGTATGGATGCATGGCGACACAAGTTCCTCGTAGGTACAGGTTCCCATTTATAACCAGTAGAATTAACACCCTTATATTCTCGAAACTACATGACCAATTTGACCAAACATACCAGGATTAATGTATGAAATGACTTTTATCAATGTCCTAATTAGCCCGAAGTAGAGGGACACTGCACCTGTCCACTCAGTCAGTGCCTCTGAAAGAATTAAGTGTATTTTCATTGATTTTGTTTGTAACTAGAACTTTAGAGCATGCCCATCTGATAGACAGAAAACTTTATTATAGACACATTAAAGTGCATCGGTTGGGACAAATAAATGATATAGTTTGAAACTGTATTTTAGCTCACTTGGCCTAAAAGGGCATGTGAGCTTTTTTCCATCACTTGGCGTCCATCGTCCTAAACTTTAACAAATAACTTCTCTGAAACTACTGTGCCAAATTTTACCACATTTTACCTGAATGTTACTTGGGGGTATCTAGTTCAAAATGTGTATGCGGATTGGATCTATCAACAAATATGGCCACTGTAGCTAAACATAGAACTTAAAATGTTGCTTTTGGCTTGTATATCTAAAGCAGTAAGAGCAAAACTGACGGTTAACATGATTTATGGGATATAATACTTTTTGAAAAATAGGACAACCCATTTTGGAGTTATTGTCCCAGAAATGTAAACTTTTAGAAAATTTCAGTTTTGGCTCATATCTCAAAAACTGAAATAGTATGGGCAAATTTGACATGAGTTTAAATTATCAGCAGATCTATCTCGAATGTAAATTTTAGCTAATAATGATTGCATGGTTCAGCTAGCAAGCAAGCTTACCAGAGATATTACCTTTACCTACACACTCAAGTCATTGTGCTGTATGTAACATGCATTGCAAAATGGTCAGATTCCTCGTATCATTCATTGCTCGAAAATGACAATTTTTTACTAATTTTTCTAATATTGCCAATTATCTCGTAAAAAAAAAATCATAGGTAGGTATACACTTTAAACAGTAAAAGTGTTTTTTAAAACAAGATCTATAAAAATATCATAAATAAGATTTGCAAAAAGACAAACATAACTGATTGCAGTACATGTAAAAATAAATATCAAAATGACATATTTTTTACCAAGTGAGCGATTGAGGCTCTTGTGTTTTATTTAGAAGACTTATTACTTGTCTTGTGAGTATTCATTCATGGCATGATTGTCTTATGGAACCACCATTTAAATCTTGACTTCTACAATGGATCAATGAAATCATTTGGTAACAACAAAAGCATACCGATAAGCAATCCAAAATTGAATACATCTGCCAAATTAATGCAATTGTCCTACAAACATCTTCCCAATTGACCCACAAAGAATTTTGGCTTATACAATGTTAATGACTGAGTGTAAGCCACCCCTTCCTTTCAGTCGACATTTGAGACCCCCTGGCCACACTAAGGCAGATCTTAATCGACCGACTATTACCATCATTATCCACAACACTGCTTAGTCTAGGGTGGAGAGAATCACTCGGGGAAAGATTTTGGATATGAAAATTTAAAACGTTTGCACCAAATGGGATTAATGAACAGGCGTAGTTTAAACCGGTTTAAATCGTACAGTGCTATTCATTTTGGGTGCATATCTACGCATAATTCTTAACATTCGTCAAATTTGAAATTTTTGAATTATACAAGCGTGGTTCGGTTTTTAGTTTGTATAATTACGTTCAAGATCGTTTTAGAAAATACGAATAGATTGATATGATTCATTTTACATTGTACTGATGAAGGATATCTGTTATTCGAAATATTTATTGATAAATGTATCACTACTGTTTCCTTTTTTTAGTATTGGTGTTATTTTGTACACCTTTAAGGCCGTATATAT